AATGAAGAAGACATCACTCTTTATAAATGCAATAGATAATGGTAATGGGTTAGCTGTCTTAAAGTGCCATTTGAAGCAGCGTTAAGACCCTTGACTTTAGTTGACTTACAAGGATGTGTAACTCTGCTCAAGCTAGCGCTGTTAATTGTTGAGTCTCTCCTTGTTGTATCTGCACCGTCCTCTCCTTTGCTTTGGAAGTTGCTATTGCAGAACCCGATTGTAGCATTGCTTCTTGCTAGTGTTAAAAGCACACATTCCCTAACATTCTACTGGTTTGTTGGAAGGTTTCCCCACTCTGTCTTCCTTACTCCTCTGCACATGGGGGAGGGCGGGATACAAATATGAAAATATGAAAAATAAATAAATAAATAAAGCCATTGCTTAAGGGGAGGACCTTCTGATCATGCTGTTGGGGCATCTGACTGCCTGTCTTAAACTGGTTAGGTGGGGAGGTAGGACCAGGTTGGGCACTTCATATTCTGGCCCAGTGGAAGTGTACATTTGCACTTCCCCTGGTAACAATCCACACCTCCCTTTGGCAGGTCTGACTGGCATGTGCAAGAGCCATTCCTGTAGCTCAGCCACTTGCTCTGAGGCTTCATAGTCATGCTCTGGAGCCAGTTGTTTTTATCAGATTAGCTCATGCTGTAAGTAGAGAACATACCTGGTATCTTGCTACAAGGACTTGTGGATCATGGAAGAAAAGGAGGGCAGTAAATATTGAGCAAGCTCTTAAACAGAGATATTTTCTTAGAATAGCCCCAAGGGTTACTCTTACTTCTGACCATTCCTTCTTGTCAGGGATGTGCATGTAGATAATTCCCCCGGGAGTATTTGGAGGAGGGTCAGTGAGTATGCCTGCCTGTTGGATGTAGGGGCTCAGTTCATTGAGGGAAAGGTTTCCATAAGGAAGTGGTGAATTATTGGCTATGGGGGCCCACGTTCTGCTGACCCAGCTATTTCACCATCCTGCTCTGGGGCTCCGCCAGTTATTTATCTTGTTTCTCTTCTCTCTTCTTTATGTAGGGTAAAGTGGAATACCTGGTGAAATGGAAAGGATGGCCTCCCAAGTAAGTTTTGGGGGTACATTTACAAGCACATTTGTGGTTGGTCCTCTGTTCTATGTTCTGTCTTTTCTGTTGGCCCCAGAGCTCAAAGGAACACTGCTCTGTACCACTTCTCTCCATTCCTGGCCCGAGGATGGAGGAACTGTGTTCAGCTAAGAGGCTCTGATTTCTTAAGTCTTCTCTTGAAATATTTGTCCTCAAGGTTTTGTAGAAAAGTAATCAGTCGAGAAGCAAGATGTTTCTTTCCTTCTGGAACTCCAGGCATTTAAATCTGAGCCTTTAAAAAAAAAAAGTTTACCTCTGAACTAATCCCACTGAACTTGATTTTAGCCTCTCTGAGCCTTTTGGGTAGTGCAAGTTACCTATCCAAATACATTGTGATTACTACTAATAGTTTTAGGACTGCAGCATCATATTGGTATATATTTAACTGTGGGGCAGGGTTGTCTTCTGCTCTTCCTGCCCCAACTCTGGCTGAGGCTCAATCCCTCCCTCCCTCTTTCTTTTAAGAGCAGAGGGGCATAACTTGCAGCTTCATTGGGGCATCTGATCTTGCTTAAACATCCACAGGATTGCAGCTTTGTGTTTATAACTATGTGTTTATAACCTCCCTGGAGGAGACCGTGTTTCATTAGGGAGCAATTGTGCCCTGCCTCTGCAGTGTATAACAAGGTGAAAGATTAATATAGCTATGAAGTCGTTACTATATACTTCTGCCCCTGTAAAGAAAGTGTTCCTGCTAACCTAGGCATACAGCCATCTGCATTCCTCTGTCCACATGGATTGCACTGTGGCTAGAGTGGCGTATTTAAATGCAGGAAGGGACTAAAAGGCCAGTTACTTTTGAATCCAGCCCTGGAGTCCTAAGCAGATGTTCTGCAAGGGTAAAACAGTCAATATCAGCCTTCCCTTTCAGCCCTGGACATGTGTGCCAGGAATGCCTTTCTTCTTGGGGAAAGGAAGGGAGACCTCCTGACTGTACATTCCTCTCAACTGTGTGTATGTGCTTAGTAACTGTGGTGTTGTCCAGCTCATCAGCTAAGCATTTCCTATGAGACCGTTTTCAGTTAAATTTTGGTTTGATTCATTTTGATCACTTCTAGTGGGTGAAGACTACACTGTTGTTTCTTAGGCCCGGTATCCTGACTCATATTAATTTTTCAGGAATGCTATACTGTTCTAGTTTTAACATAGCAGCCAGAAATATACCTGCCATCCATTTCTGTATTTTATCCCTCTTCTGCCCGTCACCCCTTGAGCTTCCAGTTTAAAAACCCTAAAATTCCAGGTAAGACCTCTCACCATTCTACTTTCCTAAGCATACCACAATAAAACTGGAAAGGCTGCTCGCTGTGTTACTTAAGAACGCTTCTCTCTGGACCCCAGACTGTAGTTCAAAAATGATTTGACATGTAATGTTCTGTTAGTGTCCCTATCACTGCATCTGCTGTCCCTGACTTCTGAATATTGTTCAGACCCCTGAAAAGGTACATTGTAGCTTATCTTTGCTACCCTTGAATTCGGACCCATTTCTTTCTTTGCTTTTCTCAGTCCTGATTTCTCTTGTCTGAGGTGTGTGTGTGTGTCCCCTGCTTGATTTTTCTTCCCAGTTATCCTGCCTTCTCCACTTGAAGAAGGAGGGCTAGGGTCCCTGGCTGGAGAGCTGCTTTGCTTCTGCTTTTCTGTTTCTCTTCCTTTCCTCCCCACCAACCCTTCTGGGTGCCTTTCCAAAAAAATCTGCCTGCAGGCCCCACCCAGCAGAGCTGGAAGCCAGGGATTTGAAGGGTTATGGCTCTGAGTCAGCTGCTAGCTTGTTTACAACTTGGGTTTGAAGTAGGAGAGGGAGGGGGGAAGGAGGGAGGAGACCACGTGACCCGTATTTTCCAGAATGCGTGGTCTGCAGTTCTGCTGCAGTCTGGCCTCTGTGTTTGCGTGTGGAGTGTGTGTGTGTATCTGTGTGTGGCGAGAGCGGCACTGTTTTTCTATATGCAGTGTTTTCTCACTGCAGTCGAGCAAGAAGCTGAGCTGCAGAGGGATGGGCAACACCCCTAGGACATGGGAGTTTTTAAAAAAAATTCTAATAAATCCCCTATCCTTCTCCCCTCCCCTCCAAGAGAGTCTGAGCCTCACTCACTGCCTAAAACAGATGCCAAAATCCACTGCAGCAGGAAGGTAGAAAAGAAGACCACCATTTGCTCAGTTTGTGTTTTTTTTGCTTGGGTAACTTGTGGATATTGCTACAGGAGGCTGGAATGAAAAGGGGGGGGGAGCATGCCAGCGAGGGGGCAGGACTGAGGGACAGTGGAAGCTGCATAAGAATTAATCACAATGAAGCCGTAGCTATTTATAATCTTCCCCTGAGAGCAGGATATGAAAGGCAGCTTCTTTTAAGTAACTGTTACTTGCAGTGCAGTCATAAGCAGAGCTGCTCCTTTCGCAGCCCACTGACTCCAGGGCTAGGGGGTTGCACTGCAAATATCAAACCTAATATTCACTAAGCCTCAGGGCAAGTTAAAAAAAAAAAAAAAGATCTGCATTCATCCGCAAGGCAAGGGGAGCAAATCCTTATTCCCATTTCTTAGATGAAACATTGAGGCTTTCAGATGGTAATGTGCCTAAGGCTACCCAGGGAGTCCAATGCTGTGTTGGTACTTGAACCTAGACCAGACCTACAGACTCCAACCAGAGTCTGTTCGGTAAACATCGTTAATCAATACCCTTATAAGTCATGATTTAGTAATTTTGCTGCCTGCCATCTTTTTTTTTTAGGATTGGATTTTTTTCCACTTAAAGATTTGACAGTATCTGTGCATGTATCCTGTTCTCAGAATCCTTCTCCTCCCAAAAATGCATATAGTTGCCATTTCCCCCTGTAAATATCTACACAGACATTCCCGTCCTGATGCATAGTTGTATAATTGCTGTGTGTTTACATTTGAGCACACCATGCCCAGCTTTCCAGAGCTGCTTTCCAGAGATGGTTAGTGCTGCTTTTCTAATTCTTTGCTATAAACATTTTCAGCATTTCTTACTAATTCCCTTTTTACATGCTTTCTTGTGCTCAGAATCTGTGTTACTGTACGTTAAAAAAACCTATGTGTATATAATACTACGGAAAAAAGGATTTTGCAGAAATTCTTAGTTGTGACAATTACAGTGCAGTCCTATGTAGAGTTATATTAGTCTAAGCCCCCTGAGTTCAGTGACTGAAGTAACTCTGTATAGGATTGCACCTTTGAGGTGTCTGAACTCACTTTACATACAGTTTCATTTTCTCCCAACCTTCATAACTCAATTTGCTGAATACTCCCCCATTTTCTCCTGTGAACATCAGCTACAAAAAGCTGTATTTCTGATAAGACCTTTTGTAGGTCTTCAAATGCAATAATAAACATTCAGACTCTGTTAACGTTCTTTCTAAAACTCCTTGCCAACAAATTCCTAATTTGTGGGTACTTAAGATACTTGGAAAGCTGACCTTGTGTTTATCCCTTTCTTAGTTAAATGTCAAAATCCTATTTCCAGTAAAGAGATCATAGGTTCATGTTAGATGGGCTTTCTGTTCAGAATCTAAGGAGCCAGTCTCTTGATGAGAAATTTGAGCTATGCTTTGTAAAAACATCTTGGAGGGGCCAGAGAGGAGTGGTTTCGGTCATCTATACTGCACACAGACTTTCAAAATCACACATGTACTAAAAAATCTCTCAGGATTGACAGTGTGATGACCAGCAGGAGGCTACAAATTGTAGCAATAATCTCTTGCTATTCTCTGTATTGCATTTAGATTGGGGCTGTTCGCACAATAAAAAGAGTATTTGTCAGTCAGACCACTGAACTACAATAGATCTGCATGTGAGAAACAATAGTGGAAAAAATATTCTTTTTGCTTTCATGCAAAACGTGTGTGAATCGCAGCAGGCGTCAGTTTAGAAGAGATGTAGGCCAAGAATAGAATGGTAAGTTTGATGTTGCTCAGGAATGATAAGAACACTGTCTGTTTCTAACGATGACATTTTTATCCCATTCTTCCTCCAAGGGGCTTGCGGCGAAGTATATTGTTTTCTTCCGTTTTATCCTTGCCATGACTCTGGGAGGTAGGTTAGGCTGTGAAATAGTGACCGGCCCAAGGTTACCCAATGAGGTTCGTGGCTGAGTGGGGGTTTGAACCTGGGTCTCCCCAGTCCTTGTCTGACATGCTAGCTACAGTACCAAGCTGGTCTTTGCTTGACCCCCTCATTGCATATGTTTATTATTTTGGAAAAAGAACATAATGGCAAAAATTAACAATGCTCAGCTGCAGACTAGGTTGTGATCTTCAACTGATGTGGGAGTAGGAGCCAGAATTTTGGCAATGCTAGTGGAGGCCCACTTTACTGGAAATTATTTATGATAGATTTCTTTTAATGTTCTCTGTTAGATACAGCACGTGGGAGCCAGAGGATCACATTCTTGACCCTCGCCTGGTGATGGCTTATGAAGAGAAGTAAGAGTGTTTCCTCTTTTTCTCTTTTGGGAAGGTTAACATATCTTGCATCCATCAAACAGGTCTAGTTGGGCTGTATTGCCACACAAATCTCTCTCTCCTGCCTTGCCAAGGGCTGAATGACTTGTTATGCTAAGTATTCTATAGAGTAGGCTTTTGGTTAAATTGAGGCCAGTGTTCCCTCTAAGCTGAGTTAGTGTGAGCTAGCTCACAGTTTTTTTAGCCTCCGGCTCGGACGTTTTTGGCTTAGCTCGGGAAGGATGGCTCCAGAGCAAACTAATTTATGCAGTGGCCAAATCGCTCACTCACAACTTTAATGCCAGTAGCTCACAAAGTAGAATTTCTGCTCACTAGATCCCAGAACTTACAGGGATCATTGATTGAGGCCCTTGCACTACAGTTTAATTATCTAGGAGCTTGGCTTAGCTTGTTCCCAGGATGCAATGGTGGCTCACTGACTTCCACATGAAAGGAACAATGACTCTATTCCCAGCTGCCTGGAAATGTTAAGGTTCAAATGATATGTTACTGGGGAGGCACAGACATTGCTAATTCGTATCTTCCCAGTAATGCATAGTTGGAAAAATGCTTGCAATGATGCTGTGTTCTTGGCGTTGCTCTACTTCTGATTCTGTTTCATTGGCTGCCACTTGTGGGACAGTGAGGAAATGTTAATGTGGCGATATTGTGTCAGGCTGCTTTCTTCCCAGTTACATATTCCTAGGGAGATATAGTGGAAGGGATGATATAAATTGGTGGTGCTGTGTTTTCTCACAATATTTGGTTTTAATCCTAAAATACCAGTATTTTTGCTTCTTGTAATGACAGTAAGCATTCACAATGTACAGTATTGATCTTCTTCGTAAGGACCCTTTGAGCTCTACATAAATTGTTAGGAAGGTATCCATATAGTAGGTTTCACTACCTGCTCTTGTGTACAAAAGGCCTTGTGAATATACCATGCTGTGTTAACAAATGAAATCTTTAGATACCGTCTGTATTCTCAGGGAAGAACGAGAGCGTGCCTCCGGTTACAGGAAGAGAGGCCCCAAACCGAAGGGCCTTTTGCTGCAGGTAACTACTGTTTTATGTCCTTTCCCCTGCCCCACAATGCCACAAGTTGGAAGATAGCTTTAAGAACAGCAGTGAATTTCTCTCCAGAACCAAAGTCTGTCTGGGTGGGCTCTTTCAGACTAGAACTATGAATGCCTTTTCCTGCACTGGCATATGTTAAGACCAGCACTTATTTGCTTGTGTCAGTTCTCCATTAGAGGCTTTGTTTCTATGCAAATAATCCTTAAACTAATTTTTCATCCTGAGCTGTAAATCCCACTGAACTATTCCTTCGATCAGGGTGGGCAAGTTATGGTCCAGGGCCTACATCTGGTCAAAGGAAGCTTTCATCCATCCCTCAGGATGCTTTACAGTATGTTGGAAGGGCACTGGAAGAACTGCTGAATAGGCCACATCAGGGTTTCCACCCTCTTTTGAGGGCTCAGAGTTGGAGGCTGGCTCTTCCTGTTTCCAGTCCTAGAAACAGAAGTGTCAGTGTTCTAATCTACTCAGAGCCCTCAGAAGTGGATGGAAGTTTAGCTGTGTGGCCCCTAGGATGAAAAAGTTCCTCACCCTGGCCTTGGAAGATGTTGACATGAGTCACTGCAGGTGTTTATGTATGCCCAGGTACATCCCAGACTTTCTAAGCTTTTCTTTTCCCCTCCCTGTTTGCAGAGGCTGTATAGTATGGACTTGAGGAGTGCA